AAATGCAGCAAAATCGACCCCATTGGTCTCTACTATACCCATGTTCCGTAGAACCTCGTGACAGCTGTCAAGATACTCCTGGGGGTCCTCTGAAGGAGCACCAATAAAGTGAACAGGAAAGAGCTTGGTAAACCTGTCCAATCTCCATAAAGCCTCAAAAGACATAGTTGGCCCATCTCCGACCTGTGCCGCAATAACGGGTTGAACTAATCCGATTGGCTGAGCTACTGGAGCCTGATAATGGGGTGCTATCTGCTCCAGAGCGGGAGTGGTAGGAGTCTGGGCTCCTCCTCCAGCCTGAGAGACTGCTGGTGCCATGGGAAATGCATCAGTCTGGGCCACACTCTCCATAAGGCCCACCAAACGGACCAAAGCATCGTGAAGTACTGGGTAGCAATGAACCCCTTTGGAATCTGAGTTGGTCCGATAGGAACAGTCTGGGCTAGAACCTCCTCGCCAATCTCTATCCGAGGCTCCACTGCTGGGGCTGCTGCTCGGGCCCTAGGCTGAGCTCTGCCCCTGCCTCGGCCTCTGGCACGACCTCGGCCTCGACCTCTGCCCCACGTAGGAGCTGTCACTGGAGGCTCTGGCTGCTGCTCAGGTGAGGAAGCGGTACGTGTTCTCGCCATCTGCGAGAGAATAAGAGTAGAAGAGTACAATCAGTATTGAGAAAGCAAAATCGCATGACAGAGAAGAACAGAAGTGAAACTTGTTCCTAAAATTCATAGCCTCTGGAAGATAAGCACAGACGTCTCCGTACCGATACTCCAGACTCTACTAAGCTTGCTCATGAATCGTGAGACCAAGGCAACCTAGTGCTCAGATACCAACTGTCACGACCCGAAATTTCCCACCGACGGGACCGTGATAGCGCCTAACATTTTACTTGCTAGGCAAGCCAGCGTTAGAGAATCATCAAACCCCTTCCTTATTTCCATTAAGTAAATAACAATAATTAACCGAAAATGAAATATAATAAGTGCGAAATATCATAAAACTGTATTAATTACTACCACCCGGATCTGGAGTCACAATTCACGAACATTCTAGAATTTACTACAAGTAATAGTCTGAAAGAAATACAACTGTCTGAATGAAAGAAAACAGTAGGACATAAAAAGATAGACGGGGACTTCAAGGTC